CTCTGATTGTACAAGGACCTACTTCGTCTGGGTTAGGTCTGGGTCTCATTGCACTTTATGCATCATCATGGAGCTCTATGATCTGTTTGAAATTTACCTCCGAATGGATATCCTCAATATCACCTAACAATTGATAATACCCCGGTGGCAGAGTAGGATCATCAGGGTCCTCCATTAGTGGATGGTGCCACTCCAAGTGCGGTTCCCTAGGCATTCTCTGGTTTATAGTACCTCCTGATTCACACTATCTTCACGACAAGCCATTCTTTCTTCCTACACTTACATTAATCTCACAATATGCAAGCAAACATAACCAAATTTCACAAATTATAACTAATAACTAATCATGTTTCACATCAATCATTACAGTGCAACCAATAATTATCTAGAATATTTGCTCTGATACCAAAAAGTGTCACACCTAACTTTGTAAACACATGATACCATAACTAGGACCATTTGCAACCACTATTCAAGACTTAAAGGTAAGAAAATTCCATATTTTAAAACTTGGTCTCGATTTACTATTCATAAAACATTAAAAATTTTACAAATTTTGAAAATTCATAACTAATTGTTAAAAAATTAAAATAAAGTGGTTTTAAGTTTTATTTAAAGCTTGTAATATATTCTTTAAAAGAAAAATAGTCATTGGTATCATGCTCTTATAGAACAGAGTCAAGAAACACGCAAAGTTGTACTATTTATTTGGTTATTTTTCAGGATTTTAGCCCAATTTTAGAAGGGCATAACTCTTAGCACAAAACTCCAAATTTGATGATCTACCACTTGATTTAAAGCTTAAAATAAGATCTATAAGCTTGCAAAATTTCAGGTCTAGACTTGTCTATGTGCCTATTATTTTATGTGTCACAAAATTCATCTAGATTAAGGGATTTTTATACCCCTTGACCATGAATTCTTGAATTTCTTTTCCTCATTTTCATGCGACACAAAAATAATCATAACAGGCCAATATACATGAATAAAAGCACTACATTACGAGCACATAGTCTTGAGTTTACATTATCCAAAGTCCATTACAAAGTTGATAGATACACAATATAACAATACATAACCAAAAGGACCATTCAACTTCATTGTCCCAAGACTAACTCCTTGCCCTTGTCCTTGCTTGATCCACTTCCTAGTGTTGGAAATTGTGCCCTACGGGCAAATCATTGTGTTATGAACATTGTTGATTTATGAATTTCTTAATTATGTTATCCTTGGATAACTCATGATTTTATCCTAAATGTCCCTGGTCGGTCATCTATGTGGGAGCAGAGATGAAATAAGACCAGTATGACTTTGAAGATGTATAGAGATATAAATCAAAGTCATAGGCACATGTAAGAGTATAAGGTGTTGGACCGACCCGCTATGAGAGAGCTGCATGGGTTAAGTCATAAGCTTCTCTCATATACAAACCATGTCACTATGCCCTTTGACCTGAGATCATCATGGATTCCTACATGAGAAACGCTCAGCTTTGACCTAGTCAAAAGTCACTTTTGACTGTGTGATCATAAAATGTTCAGGCTTAGTGGTTTTTCATATGGAGGAATGTGAATGGTCAAGATGGAATTTGTCCCTCACATTCGTAGAGAGACATTACTAGGTCAAAGGAATCGAGAAAGTAACGGTCAGGAATAGGAGGATGACGTTCTCCATGCCTCATCCATGACCGAAATGTCGTGTGACAAAAGGGACATGATATGGTTGTATGAAAGGTTACATCATTCATCAATCCTCATATGATTTGGGTAGTCGTGATGTCTTGCTAGAGACCGCTTACGACTTGTGAGTCATTATAGTAAATGGCCCATTGCCAACTTCATATGGGCCTACAGGGTCGCACACAAAATAGCTCAACACGAGCTATGATGTCCAAATTCATTGAATCTAAGATATGTCCAGATTCAATGAATAATCTAGGGTGGACGTGTATATATATATATAAATTCACGTATATATATTATATGATATAAGAGATATTTATAAGATTTGATTTATAAGGATAAATTAAATCTATATCACTTTTAAATTGATGAGGCATAAATCAGGTAGCGTTCCAATCTATCTCAAATTTGATTTATTAGAATAAATCAAATATAATTCCGTCATATCTTTATTTTGAATTAAATGAATAGGTGAATTAAATCTGTGAGACAGATTTAATATATAAATCGTATTTATTTAATTGATTTCTTATTAGATTACGCAATATATAATATTGTATTAATTTTAGAATTAATTTAGGATTAATTCCGAAATCCAATATCCTTAGCGTCCTATATATATTTGATATTAGGAGCTAGGGTTTTGCGTGTGTGTGAGTGCAAAAGGTTTGCAGATAAGAAACGGCCAAAATAGAGACAGTGAGGACGGATTCTCAAACCCTAGAAGGACAAGAGGCGCTAGCACGTCGTTCATGATTGGAACGCTGTTCGTGTGGATACCGGTAGAGGAAGCTGATCTGAGTTGTTAACTTCTCACGATCAAAAAGAGAGCATAGGCATCCTGAATGTCGGAATCCCCAAGCCACCAATGATTCGAATACCGTAGGTAACACCTCTTACTACTTGACTTAAACACAATCGGTAGATCCAGGCAAGGGATTGGAAAATTTTAAAGTTATTTTTCCGCTGCGTGTCTTTCAATTCCTTACACCTAGTTAGTGCATAATTTAACATAGAAAGCAATGAAATTTCATAGAAATTTCAGTAGTAATGAACAATAATTGTCATGTTAATCAAGCTCTAAATAATGTGACATGTTACAATGCTTTATAACATTCCCAACTCATGCATGATTATGCCATACATTGTGCCATAAGAGAAAACTAGCACATATTCACATTAAAATATCATTATGCATTTGGCCAAAACATATCAAACATAATTGAAACATCCATTGACATAGCATAATTCAACCACCATATGACAAAATAAAGCAAGCAACACATACACATTAAGCAAGCAACAGAAAAATAATCAAATTATAGATTCAATACTACTTCTTGCCCTTGATTTAATTCAGCCTCCTTAAGGGTTTAGTGTTCTGCTTTGTTCTTCTCCACAAAACCTGACAAGTTAAGCGTAGTTACGAGCTACATTATCAACTATTCAAGCTTGGCTACAAGTATTTAACCTTAAACCTAATTAAATCCACTTTTTTCCTTGATTTTTGACATAATTATTCCTTCTTTGATTCCATACACAATCTTTCATGTAGAATTCAAATATGAATTTAGATTTAACAAAATCATGTTCCTTCCCCTTCCACTAGTATTGGCCAAATAAGGCCCTTAATGGATTCAAAAATTCTAATTTTAATTCCAATGCTTCCAAACACTTTTTCTTAGTGTTTCTTTATACAAAAACACCTTTTGAACTCATTAGAATCATCAAAACACATCAAAACAAACTCCTACCCAAGAACTTGTTTTGGCCGAACGGTATGTCTTGAAACCCTAACTTAGTTTTCTTCCAAAAATCAATCCAAACACCATTTAGACATAATAATTTTAACTCATTTTTAAGGCTTCTATCCTTTGCTAATCCATATTCAATCCAACCAAAATGTGACAACACAACCACCTTGGATTACAACTTAAATTCCTAACCATAACAAGTTTTAAACTTAACCAAAGTCAAGCTCAAACTTACCTTTATTAATTCTTGACCAAAGCTTAGTGTTTTCTCCTCCAAATGCACTATCTGCGGCTCTCTTTTAAGCTCAAGTTTTTAGTTTGGCAGTACCTCCCCAAGCTTCTCTAATTTTGACCGAATTTTGGATATTTTGGGGGTATTTATAGAACAAAAATCTGACCTCCTTTCCTTTACTTGTGGCACCAAATTCTGCCACTTAGGAGGCCATGTGGCCTTCATCACATGCCTTCATTTTTCAGATTTTGCCAAGGGCCTTTCTTTTTGAACTTTCCATTGACTTTCGGTTTAAATTGGGTTTAAACCTCTTCAATTGTTGACCCATGTTTTGTACAAAATTTTTGGGCCCTCTTGGCCCAAAATGATGCCCAAATACAATTTAAAAAGAGAGAAGCAATGACACCCAATCACAAGTATCAATTTCTAACTAATACTCACTATTTTAGTTTCTATTTTTAAAAATAGTTCTGGGCCTCCAAAAGTTCATTTCTCCCATCAAAAACTCCTTTTTAATATAATAAAGCTCTCTAAAAAATTTTGGAATTTATCTCAACCTCTAACTATTTATTTTGAATTTTCTCCGAAATAGGGCTTTATTAATAAGATTTCAGTAATAAATATTCTAAAATTAATTCCTGTACCTCCAAGGCTTGGAATCAATTTCATATATTAAAATAAATCCTTAAATAATTTTTTTCATATTTTTTTAAGAATTATTGAGGTCTCTACATATCTAAAATAATTATTTTTACCCTAATTTTACTATTGTGTAAGAGAAACCTCTGTTTTTCGAAAATTTTGTAATAAATATTTTTATGCTAATGTCACCTCCAGAGTCTCAAATAGGGTTCTAACATCTCTAATTCACTAATTTTCTATTTGTTAGGAATTTTTCTTAATTTTTTCCATTTTGCCCTTTCTAGACTGATAATTTTGAAAATATCAGTCTGGACCCTATTTGGGTTTTACATCAAAAGTTGTTTTGTCCTTCTGTCTACTTTCTATATTTGCTAGACCTAATTTTTAACTTCCTCTGTCAGGGTTAAATTTTTAAGATGTGAGAGGAGGCCGAAAGCTTTGAACATTAAAGAGGTGGCAATAAACTTGCAATTTGAATGTTAACTTGCTTTGTTTGATTTGCTATGTGTTGCTTAATTTTTCTATGCCATGACGTGGCAGATCTAGATAGATGATAATGTGATTAACTCCATGCATAAGGTGCCTTAGCTTTATGCAGTGTTGAGTGGTTCGATAGTATGTTTGATTGCTCCATTTCCATGGCATAAGAGCATGTTAAAATGCATGATATTTAGTAAGTGACATATGGTATTCTTGCATTGTATGTTTAGCATGATTATTGTGGTTCTTGCTACTGAGATTTCTATGAAATCTTACTCTTTTTCATGTCTAAATAATTAATAATCTAGGAGTTGGATCATCCAAGGAGAAGAGCAAGGAGATTATGTTGGGATGAAGGTGTTTATACTTGTAATGTTTATGATTTTATGTAGATTTCTATTAACGTAACTTTGTAATAAATATGTATGGAGTTTAGAAACTTGTATTAATGACGTTGGTGGCTATAATGGACTGGGATATTATGCTCGAACATACGATATATGGGACAAGTATATGATGCCAAGAAAGAAAACAAACAAGAAAAGGTATGAAAATAGTATGAATTAACCCTAATAATGGCTCAATTTCATGCCATTGAGATTGTAGTCAAATGAATGAGTTTTGAGGTAAAACTTTACATATTTATAGATCATATTTTTAGCTTTAAAACAAGGGATAATTCATTAAAATTGGAGTTTTGTACCAAAAAAAAAAGTTATATCTGTCCAAAGTTAGACATAAATTCCAGAAAATTGGGAATTTATCAAATGAACAGTACTTCTTTACGTAAATTCTGGAAATGATTGACAAGACTTTGATACCAGAGAGCTTTTTTCCCCTGAAGATCATGTTAAGAGATTTAAGTAGAACTTAGAACCACCTTACTTTGATTTTTTAAAGTTTTGCCTTGGTTCAAGGTTCCATGAACAGTAACATGAATTTAAACAATTTTGAAATTTGAATTTTTCTAACCTAAGGCCATGAAAAGTGGTTTTGATTCTATTTAAAAGGTTATATGATCTAAAAGGAAGATGTTATAGTCTTCTTGATAAAGCTAGAAGAGCACAAACACCTATGAACTCAACAAGCTCAGTAGACGTGGATATAAACGAGAAAGATGTGAACATCACTAAATATAGAGGAATGATTAGCTCATTGCTATATCACATAGCAAGTAGAACTAATATTCAATTTAGCATGGAATTGTGTGCAAGATATCAAGCTGCTTCTAAGGAATCACATGTAGAAGCTATAAAAAAATAATATTCAAGTATCTAACTGGAACACTGAGCTTGGAATTTGGTATCATAAAGGTGGACCTGAATATTTTCTAGTCTACTCAGATGCTGACCATGTAGGATACAGAATTGATAGAAAGAGTACAAGTGCATAATGCCTATTTCTTAAAGGATGCTTAGCATTATGGTTTAGGAAGAAACAAAATACAATGGCCATCTCTTCAATTGAGTCAGAATATGTTGCCACTGCAAGTTGTTATGCTTAAATTTTAAGGCTAAAGCAATAATTACAGGATTTAGGAATAAATCTCAAACAAATTCCTATTCTCTGTGATAATGCGAGCACAATAATTCTTTCGAAAATTCCAGTTCACCACTCCCGAACTAAGCATATTGACATTCATTATTACTTCATTCGAGACCATGTACAAAAGAAAGACATAAAGGTTGAGTTCATATCCATAGATCTACAACTTGTTGATATCTTCACAAACCCTTTGGCACAACTATAGTTCTATTTCATAAGAAGAGAATTAGGAATGGTAAATCCCAATAAGCTGTAAGAATTTCTAATCGTAATTCATGAACTAACATGAGCATCAGAGTATCTAAAGATTGGTTTTATAAGATTGCTTTATATTGAACAAGAAAAATAGAGATAAACAAAGGAGTAAATTATTGAGCTCGTAATTGAAAAGTTCTAAAAACATTTTAAAGATGTTTGTCAATAACCTGATTCAATAGTTAAGGTAAGCAATAAGGTTATCGATAACTAAAAGAAAGAGATTCAGGAGTTCCCTAAATGTGATGCAATTCATCGATAATATTATCAATAAATAGGTTTCTCGACAAACTTATTAATAAATCAAGAGGAACTACAAAATGTGGGACAGAAAAAGACTTATCAATAAACTTATCGATAAAGCAGATGATCTATAAGGTTATCAATAATGGGTAACTATTTCTAAACTCTTATATGGTTTTATCAATAATTGCTTTAATAAGATCGATAAATTTATTCTCTTGTTATTTTTCTGAAAATATCTTAAGCTCTTATTGTCACATCCTGAATTTTGGGCCTAGAAGTATTAGAATTAGCTTGAAATGGGTAGATTACCAAACCCCTTTTGACAGAGGTCTTAGATGTTCCCTGGAGGGACAGAGGGATTCTTGGGGACTAAATCGCAAAAGAAAAGTTTTTTGGGACTGAGAAAAGAGGAAGTTAGAGGCTCAAAAGAAGTCTCGAGGCCCCGGAATGAAAAATAGAGATAAACGTAAGCCAAAGGTTATGTTGGAGGTCTCAATGATGTGAATTTTAAGGTTAAGCCGAACCATGGGCAAAATCATAATTTTATAAAGTTTTGGGCTGGTAAGGCAAAAATAGAAATTATGCCTGAAAAATCCCAGAAAATAGAAAATGTTAGGTTACGGCCTAAATACCTCAAAAAAATTTCAGAAAAATAGGAATAAGGTTCAAAGGCCTGTATGAGGCTAAAAATGACAGAAATGCCCTTAGAAGGAATTTGTGAAATTCCCAGGGTTTTGACTCATTTTGGATATTATGGAAAATGCATTATTTAAATTATAGGGAGGCATCAGATAATTGGAAGGAAATGGAGAAAAATACTTGAGGAATTATCACAGGTTTTAAAAATAATTCCGTCCCCAGAAAGCAAAGAGGTTGGCTTTAATGGAATTTAAAGCCTGTTTACATACTATCCGGGGAAAGTCAAAATCAAATGTCTAGAGGTTGACTTTTGACTTAAGAAAAATTAGAGAAATTCCTTGTGATAAATAAATAGTATTAGTACCCAGAGATAGATTCCCGGAGTTGTGGACCGGTAGAAAGAATTCGGTCAAGATCACTCCGAAATAAATATTATTAATTATTAATTATTTTAATGGAAGAAGAAGGGAAGAGCATCACTCTCTCTTTGGGCATGTTATATAATACCATATGGATTTATTTGAGGTGAGAAAATGGTGCCATAACATGTCCCAGTGGTCACGGGAAGGTCAGGACTCGAAAAAGTACCCTATACGGTGCAGCATGGCAAGATAGGTGGGGGAATGCCTAAGGGTGGTATTTTGCACGAATTTTATATTAATTTCCTCCCTATTTTAATGCCTTAATAATGAAGGAAAATGGAAGAGACAAGTGTACGGTTAGATGGGAAAAGAAGGTATTACGTGTATGGATGCAAGACACATGTAGGGTCGAATGCAAGACACATGTACAGTCGGATGCAAGACACGTGTGGATTGGTGATGTAAGCATGATGTCATCATGATGAGGTAAGCATGATGTCATGAGACACTTGTCACAATATGATTAAAAGAGAAAATGGACGGTCCAGATCAGGCCACACATTTTTAAGATCAACATCCCAGATTCAGTCTTGTTTTCTATAAATACCCCTCCCCTCCGTCTCATTTCATTGTAAGCCATAGAAACCTTGGGAAAGCTCTGGCAAAATGGTTTCTAGAGAGAGAAAGAAAAAGGACAAAGAAAGGCTAAGTGGTCCCACGCAAGATCAAGCTCTAAAACAAGGTATGTTCATGGTTTTTGATATAGTTTTCACTACTCTTGTTGTTGTTGAGCTTGGTTATGGATTTTAATGATTTTTGGGAGCTTGAAACCCTTAGGGGAGGTGCTCCCCAAAATTCTTAAGAGTAGGGGGAGATGAAATTGATGTTAGAATAATGTTCAATGGCTTGAAAGGAACACGAATCAAGTGGTTTTATGCTGAAATTTGTTGAATTTCATGATTGTGTAACTTGAGAAAATGTTTCGGCCAGACCTGGTTCTTATGCCTAGGATGTAATTTTGATGATTTTGATGCTTTAAATGTGTTTAAAATGAAAATTTGTGTAGGGATAAGATGAAAGAATGAAGTTGGAAGCATTGGAATCAAAACTGGAAATTAAGTGGTAGATTTCGGTTTTGGCCCAGAACTAGGGAAAAAAGTTGGATTTTGATGAATCTAAGCTCATATTTGGATTTTTTGGGCAAAATTGTGTAGGATTGGCCTAAGGGAATAATTTTTACATAGCTAGAAGACTACATTATAAATGAAGGAAAAAGGGATTAAGTTAAGGACATAAGTCTTTCATATTGTGTAATTCTTGGTCCTAATGAGTAATGTGACCCTTGTGGCTATGATTAAGACCTTGAGGCATTCAAGAGGAGGTTTGGATGTGGTTGAGCAAACAACTTTACCGTTGGAAACGAAAAGGGAGTAAGAAGAAAGCTTAAGGACATAAGGTAGCAAACTTGGCTTTACTCTTATGTGCTTCGTATTTGTTTGCAAGTATGTCATGTTTCTATGTTATATGATTTTATGAGCTCATGTGTTTTGATTGTGAATGTATTTGAAATATTCCATAGGCCTATGTGTTTTATGATAAATGCATGATGATTTCTAAACATGTCATTATGTTATAAAGATGTTAAGTTGCAAGCATGTTATAAATGCTAAGCTTGCCATGTATGTTTGGGTGATTATTGTTTGCTACTGAGATTCTCTCTAATCTCACCCTCCCTTAAACAACCATAGTAGGCCAAATGACAAGGAGAAGGCATGCATAAAGAAGGGCAAGAAGATGGAAGCAAAGGAAGTGGAGAATTTACATGCGTTTCAATGTAATGATTGACGTCGTTAGTAATGTAATTATTTGTGGATATGTCAAGTATAGAATGTGATGTAATGTTTGATATATAATATTAATGGCATGCAACTCAAAGTATATGAATGAATAGGAATCCATAAGACTAGTTGTTGCATGTTCGAATGAAGGGAGAATTAAAAGTAAGAAGTTAATGAAAGATAAAACGTAGGTCTTGAGGCAATGAGTTTGTAGCTCCAGTTTGACCTAACAATTAGTAGAACCTGACCATGAAATTTGATGATCATATAGTACACATCCCAAGCTTTAAAATGATAGGTAAATCACCTCAATTGGATGTGTACACAAGGAGATATGAATTTTTCAAGTTGGACCAAAAATCTGAAATTTAACTAGTGCATAGTAACACGAGAACCAATAGCAAATTTTCAACCTATGGGCTTGTTCATGAATCGCTTGAACCATAACACTTTCAAACATGTACTCTGAGGGGTTAAAGGTGGGATGTTTCACTTATCAATAAGCTTCTCAATAACGTTATCAATAATGTACAGATTTTATAAAAGAAAAATTGACCATTAGCGACCCCTAACTTGATAATCTTAGTCACTGTTTACCTTGATCTTCCTATTCTCTCAAAATTTCTTTTGAATCCTCCCTCTTCTCACCTCTTTTACCTACTTTAAGCTCTTTGAAACCTTTAATTTCTTCTTTGTCAAATCTAGACTTAATTTCTTGGAATCAATTCTGTCAGTTTCAAGTGAAAAAGGTAAGAATCAAAAATCCTAGTAAGGGAGATATAGAAGAAGAGCTTTATCAGACTCCCACGACATAGAAGAGGAGGTACCAACCTAAGGCTCAAAAGGAGAAAAATGAACCTGTAAAAAGGAAGGTAGGGACACTGAAAATCAGTTACAGCAAGAAAACTCAAGGTTAATCTTGAACCTCATCACAAGAAACACGGAGCAAAATGAAAATGAGGTCTACCTCCAAACTTCCCATTGTCTCTAAAGGTTCTGAGAGAGAGTTAAAACTAGCTTCACAAACAGAAGCCTTTAAAGGAACACCAACTAAGCAATGAGTCCACCAATACCTCACCAACATAGGAAAAAGCGACAAAAGTGGACTAAAGAAGAAACCACTCAACCAGCTCGATCACATCCTACATCTCAATATACTTAGGCCCAATTCTCCCAAGGTATTCCTTCTCATGTACCTAGAAATTTACATGAGTTTCTAGAAGGGAATCTAAATGAAAGAGTTGATATAGGGAAATTTAAGTCTCATTTCATGCACAAGAAGTTATACCCTGTAGTTTCCGACAACTTAAGCCAATTAAAAGGGGATGTAAAAATAATGTTGGATTCAACTGATCCCTTAGAGCACTATGAGAACTGGTTAAGCATAGATACAAGCTAAAGCTTGGAGGCAGTCAAAAGGTTTTATTGCAATATGGAAATTCTTGACACCTTTGATACGAATGGAAATCTAAACAATAGTTATCTAAACTATAAGCCTAAGAGGAAGAGGAATCAAATTGGATCCAGGATTGATAAATGACTTGTTAGGAACTAATCAACATAAGATGACTCAAAATATGCTTCTCTCTAAGGCTTAAATGATATTGAGACAAACAAACTAGTCCCTTGGTGACCTCTCATTTAGTCCTGTAGAAATGTGTGATTATTTTAGCATAATCTAGTACATTTATTCTAGGAGCATAGTAAACAAGTCTGGCAGCTACTCTCACCTCACTCAAAATGATTACAAGTTATTGGCAAGAACAGTAAGTAGTTAGAAGTTGAATATTAGAGCTTTGATATATGGTGAAATCAAAGGCTTTTGTTTATGCAAGATAAGGGTCACTACTCTACCTTATCCTTAACTAGTCTCATACTTCCTCCGACAGTTCAACATCTAGGACTTGGAGGAAAGCGACAAGGAAGAGACAATTCCACCTTTGGGAGTGTTCAAATCCATAGAATAAGGATTCAATTACCTTTTATAGCTGCTTAAAAGAAACCCCCAAAAGAAAAAGAAAAAGGAAAGTAGCTTGTCACTAGTGCCTTAAAAGGTCAAGATGAAAACCAATCATCTGCTAGAGCTAGCCAATCTACTGTACCCTCTTTCTTTGATGCCAGTATTCAAAATATCCTGTAAGTCGAATTAAAATATTTTGAAGGAAGAATTTATTAGATGGGTAGAGAACTTGGGGAAATTACTGATAACAAATTTGCTAGGATCAACTCAGTTCTAACTATCTATCAGGAAGCCATAAGAGTCCTTCAACATGACATGAATCAGAAAATGGATTTTCTAGAAACTCGGTATGCTGCTTTAGAGAAGCACTTGCAGGACATTAAAGGACTTTATAGCAATCATCCCTTCTTAATTTTTCATAGCACCTCCTTCATCCTAGATAAGCTTTTCTCCAGCCTTTCAGCATTTCAACCCTCTTCTGACATACCTGGTCCCTCTGGTCCATCCTCTTCTACTCTAATTTATTTTAGAATTTTTTGTAATTTCAAAAAAAATTTTGCTAATTAAGAAAAAATTGGCCAAAATGAATTGTTTAAAATATATAGAGGCCTCAATAATTCATGAAAAAATGAAAAGAATTATTATAAAATTTAAAATTATTCCTGACCTTTGGAGATGCAGCGATTAGCTTTAAAATATTTAAAGTTGAATTATATTGGTAAAAGGCTGATTTTGGAAAAAAATTTAAATTGAAGGAGTTATAGGTCAAAATTAAATTTAAGAAAAATAGTAGAACCTCTCATCATAAAAAAAAAGCTATTAGCATAAAGAAAAAAAGAAAATTTAACTTGACATAGGACACTATTACAGATTTTCAAATATATGTTGTTATATGGGTGATGGTTAAAACAAAACATGGTCATCTATTGCTAGGCAGAGGTCATGCTAAGCCGTGTTTGATGGTCTTAATTCTAACTGTCACATATTTGAAACACAAAGATGATGGTTAGTTACAATAACCATCACTTATTTTTGCCATATATCGAGAAGAGAAAACATAAATATGTACGTCACGCCACCCATATTGAAACCATTTTATATATTATTTTAAATGATTCTTGGTCCTACCCTGTTTAAGTTCTACAATGATTTGATTCAAATTTGATTTGAAGAGCCGTTATGTCGATTCAAAACTCTGTATAAGCCTCAAGCCCCCAAGCCTAAGCATCATTTCTACAATATATTTCATTCTATTTCTATTTTTGCCATTTAACCATATGGTCTATATGCCCAAGAGCCAATGTGATTTCTAGAAGTACCAATGACCATATGCTCCATCAAATAGAGTTATTAGTCATGCATACCAAGGAACTGAATGACGTAGTCCACATGTTCCTGTGTGACGAAGCATTATGCTTGGTAGCCAAACAAGACTAACTCATCGAGCTTGTTTAGTCCCTAGATAAAAAGATGAACAAGGTGTGTGAGAACCTTGGGTTCATGAAAAAGATACCCAATATCCCTTTTCATATTCTTCTGGCAATAATAAAAAGAAAGGCAACAAGAAAAATGATTAATAAGTCTCCTTCCTACCATGTTGTGTTTTATTTGTTTGTTTTTGTTTTATTTTGTATGTTTAATAAGCTAACGACTTACTTTTATAAGAAAAGAAAGACTACTGAGACTCTATCTTAACTTGTAGAGTTCGTAAAAGGTGACAGTTTTAACAATAAAATCGCCACCTTTTGGTTACAATAGGCGTTGGTTGTATAAGTCAAACCTTCATGTATTGCTCATTAGACACCTACAAACTAGCAAATCTTGGCATTCTGAATACTATTGAGACTACATCTTAACTTGTGGCATTCACAACCCGACTATTCCAACATCCTTTTCTGATCATCAATGGTTATTTACTGTCATAACCCACCAAGTAATGATGTTAAAGACTATTGATGTTAAGAATTGTTCATTTGCCCTAGCTCACTGTTTCATTCATTTATGCCCTAGCATGAAGTTTACTGTGTGCTCTATTATCATTTGTTTCAGGTATTTTTCTTGTACGCCATGTTCTCACTTCTTTATCCTATATTTTTTGTTCGGACTTTATTTTTGCTATTATCATGTATTTTAGGTCTTGTGTATTATGCAAAACACATTGCTCTATTCTACTTCTTTCTACTCCATTCTTTCTGGTCATTGTTTAGAATGTTCACTTATTTTTTTGAGATCTACCATTATATTGTGTCACATCTCAACTTTTAGGCCTAAAAATACCAGAATTAGCTTGAAAAGGGCAGGCTACTAAACCTCTTTGGGCAGAAGTTCCAGAAGTTCTCTAGAGGGATAAAGGGATTCCCAAGGACTAAATCGCAAAGTAAGAGTTTTCTAAGACTGAGAAAAGAGAAAGTTAGAGACTCGGATAAAGTCTCAAGGCTCAAGATTAAGAAGTTGACATAAATGTAGGCCAGAGATTTTGTTGGTGGCCTCAATGGGGTTAATTATAGGGTTAAGTCGAATCAGGGGCAAAATCACAATTTTAAAAAATCCCAAAAAATGAGAAATGGCATGTTAAGGCCTGTACATGAAGAAAA